GATACGGTAATGTGGAATAAAATTGAGAGACAACTGTTATTACTGCACATAAGAGAAAATTATTTATTTTTGCTTCTCAAGCACGATCTAAAGTAGAAAACTTATCTTCTTCAATTTTAGAAAACTTAATTTGCGCTTTGGTAGCTACCTTAGCCCTTTGAAACAATAATTTTGTTTAGGACAAAAGCCATAACCTCGCTTTTTCACTTATCCCCTGCTAATATCTTATGTATTTGCTTTTCTACATATTGTTTGCTCAAAGACGAAATCCTCAAATGACCTCTTTTATTGACAATTTATCAGGCAAAAAGCTGTACAAGACAAAATAAATATAAGTTAGCAAAAATCCTTACGTCGGAAAAATTGCTGGCGATAACAAAGAAATTTACACATAATATACAGATTGGCGAAAAGTTACGTGCGCGTGACATTTGACTTAAGTCCAGTTTCATGCACAAAACAACCCAACTTTATCTTCCAAAGCGACTGAGCTCCAGCCAACGAATTCAGAACACTTCTTCACGATTCACTTATTGAAGTTCTCGGCTCTTTTTTAAAACACGAATCATGGCCTTGCAGCCCGGATCTGAATTCAGTGGACTTTTCTATTTGCGGCGTTATAAACAACCTAGGAGTTGAAAAAAATCTGGTGATTTTGCAAATAGAATTGATCAATAATTGGAACAATTTAGACTTTAACTACCTCAGTCGCACTATCGATTTCATGGAAAAACGATTTAACGCTGGTGGCTACTTCGAAAATTCTTTGTATAGGTTGTTTCTGCTCATTTTTATATAAAAATAATTTTTTAAAAATGTTTGCTGGCAAAAGATAAAAGAGCCTTTTTATGGCGCACGTAATTTTTCGCCGACCTGTACATTTCTTCATTTGGATTTAACCACAAACAACTTGAAAAACGAAAAGGCTATCCACTAACAGAATCCGCATGTCTTTTCACAGTACTCTTTCTTCACATCTTGCGTGTAGAACGTACTTTCGCAGAATCCATTTTGTTTCCACGCCTCGCAGCTAAAAGAAATATTTGTTGAGATTTCTATTAAAAAGGTTATGAAGAGCTAAATGACTTGTTTGAGGCGTCGCGGCAGGGTGGCACATATGGTCCACATTTATTACAGGTTTTCGGGCAGTATCTGAATAGATTACCAAGTTTCGCAAATTATTTTAGCCTGAAAAATAAAATTAGTTTACCTTCTCATTAATTCGTCATAAAGCTCGTCTGAACATTGTGGTAGATATTTAGCACAGTTGACATTCGGATCATCTTTGCAGTCAGCAGTAGCTGAAAGGAAGAAATCTAGTTTTAGTTTTCTGCATTTGAGATGCAGCAGAATGCTATCAGCGCATAAACCTTATAGTATGAGGATAATTCAGAGATAGACAATTTGACGCTGTTTTCATGCTGAGAATAATGGGCAGGATGTCATTAAAATACGCCTTTCATCGTTATTAACTCCTTGAATTCCGAGTTATTTCTAAGCCTTAACCATTCCCTTGAGGGCTATCTTTATTTTAGTCTTTCCATTTGCAGTCACTCTTAGACCTATGGCAAATGCGGTAACATTACGGTGTGACAGAAACACTCTTAGCGCTACGTAAGCTCTTAGGAAGTCTTTAGTACGTTTACTTATCAGATCTTTATTATATTTGTATAATATTCAGCTGTTGCTAAATAAATAGATAAGATATTCAGCTTGCTAAATAGCATTCGGATGATTTTTGAGCGTTTTCAAACCAA